CTGCATTGTATTTAAGCAAATATTCAGCCAGCTTCTGATTGTCTTCAGACACAGCATAGTGAAGAGAAGTATTGCCATTTTTGTCCATAAGATTTGGATCAGCACCATGCTTCAACAATGTACACATGCATCCATATGTCCAGTTTTGTACAGCCTAGGGATTATATCAAGAAACAAATTGCTTGTTCATAGTTCACCAAGTAGTAAGTAATATGTTCATGGGGTAAGTTTGTTTTATAATCATTTAAATTAAGTCTATGGCATGCTGAATTTGGACAGCTATACATACCTTCATCAGAGGTGTGATGGAGTTCCTGTCAATAGCATCAATGTCACAATTATTTCTCAGTAGAACACTTACTACTTCTTCCCGGCCATAGACACAAGCGAAATGCAGAGCAGTCCTACGGAAATTAGAAATTTTAAATGAAATTCTAGAACACTATCTTAAAATTAACAATTTCTCATGTAATCATAAAATATTAAATGGCACATAACATTCTTAAACATTGAATGATATATGTTTCTTTCACCTTCTGAACAAATACTTAAGTCCTTGTAAAAAATGGAAATATTTATTAGCTTCTATTACTCACTATATTGGTAAAGACAACATTTTTGATAGTGTCTTTTGTGTGGTGCTGTGAACTGAGCACATGGCCTCTTCCATGCTTAGAAATTAATCTGCCATTGAGCAATACCCCCAACCAGGAGCAGGTTTAGAGAAAAAGCATGGCATTAAGGTTAAATCACCATAGGTTTAATTATAACTTAAACTTTGCTATCAACTACTTAGGCTTTCTATGAATCAGTTCTCTCATCAGTAAAGCTAGGATGAAAAACAGTAGTTATCTCACAGAATACCACTGTGATTCATCAATGGGAATTATGCAAAATGTCTAGAATAGCTCCCTGCACTCCACATCTCAGTTTAATATTATCACTGTCCCTTCTGCTCAGCAAACAAGATTTCAAGTACATAAAATTATATGATAATTATTTTTCTGTTATGTTTAAGTATTGCTAATTTCAAGGATTCTAAGTTGTATTTAAAGTCTCTAAATTTGCTTAGAGGGGGTAAAGCAGCAAGGTTTTAAGAATAGTACAATGGGTATGCTACATAATAGATGTTCATGTTATCGGTGGTGAATAAATTACTTGGTAAATTTGTGATTTATCAGGATAAATTTGCAGGCAGGGTGGGACAATCTGGACTAGAGACCTCTAGCTGGAGTGCAAGTCTGGAGAGAGCACTGAGGATCCAGAGAAGACAGAACATAGAGAGGCCTTCCCCTTCTGCTGGCTCCCCTATGCTGGTCTTTGAATATAACAGGGGCCATATCACATCCTCCACGCAGGCCGCTCCCTCCAGCTCGTAAGTGCTGTTACCTTTCCTTAAAGTCTCTGTCATGCACGCTGTGTTTCCCAAGGTTTATCATTCTCTGCAGTCTCTTGACATCACCTTCACTTGCAGCCTGGTGGATCTTTTTGAGAGGTTTGTATCTGGGTTTGTTTGGGACAGAAACGCTTTTCATATCATGTAAAATGTCCAACAACTTTTTTCTTGGGACATCGCAGAAACCCATAGGTGTCTTTTCCTTAATTCCATGAACCAAGTTCTTCATGACTGAAGCTACTGGTCTCACCGCCTGGCCCTGACCCTTCGGATTTTCCCAAGGACTGGTCCTTAGACCAACTAACTCGCAAACTAAGTATTAGCTTATAGAAAAATCAAGATATGTCCACAAGGTCCCCCACCAAGATTCCATGGTGAGAGAAAGAGCTTATGACACACCTAAAGACCGTTGATCAACTCCAGGTTGCCAAGCAACCCTGGTGACCATTGGTGTACTGTGCGCATGCGCAAGAGTGGGTCTACTGTGCTGCTAACATCCCTAGAGCTAAAGAGTGTTCATTGTGAATGTACGGGCCACTTCTGGCCATCTCTCTGCAGGAAAACAAGTGTGTT